ATATTTTTGTTGTTTTAGAAATTGGCATACGAGAGCATTATTTCTGTTGTTAAAACAGCTGGGTTCGAATTCTAGTTCTGCTTTTTGCTAGCTGTCACCATGGCCAGGTAATTTAGTTTCTGTAAATTTCAGTATTTTAAGTAGAACAGCCCTAGAAGTTCATGGCTGCATAGCTGAAAGGGTGATGGTAAGAACCAAATAAGTTAATCCACCTATCATCTCTTGTCATTTATATATGTTATTGCTACTGTTGATGGCAGTATCATGCCTAACGATTTTGTAAGACTCTGGGAACATGGCTGAAAAGTTTTATTGCTTTCAGTTCAATGTGATATTCTCATTTTGTAAGTATTTTCTTCCAATTCTGGGTTTTTATTTCTTTTTATTTATTCTTTATTGCTTTTTGCATCCTGTCTGTGATGTATTCCCTGTCATTTTCTGTACTACCAGTTTGGAAATATCCCAGAGTATATCATTCTATAGGTTCAACCAGACTTTGATGATAGCTATTTTGTTGGATGAGGGCTATTCCATTGATTTGTTGCATGTTGCATAGGGATAGATACCTGGAGACACATATTTGTTAACTTACTGGATGCAGCCTGCAGTTGCAGGTGGTGGTTCATACAGTGTAGCATCATTTTCAACTCTCTGGTTGGGAATATTTCAAAGCATTTCCTTGATATGAGTGAGTTCTACACATTTTATTCCCTTATGTTTAACTTTTTACAACCTAGTTGGATTTCACTTAACTCCATTTAGGTTTCATATTGTATTGCTCTGTTTTCCCTAAGTAGCTGCTGGGCAATTTTGTTATGTAATGTAACTTGAAATTAAGTCCCTTTCTCAAACTGTATTTCTCTTCTCCTCTTGAACCAAAAACAAATAAATAAACAACAGAATAATAACTGGAAAATTATACTAGTTTTGGTTAATTTTCTGTGTTTCTTCATTAGCACGTGAAAATAAATTAGTGATTTGCAAGAGGATTTTCTGTTGCAGGCTTTAATGATAAATTATGTCATTCACACAAAGTGTTTGCCATTTTCATATTTGTCACTTCAATGGTAAACCTATACACTTTGACTATGTAACTGCTATTCTATACATTTATTCTGAGAAAGTTAGCAAGGATTCACATGTAGATTCATGTATAAGTATGTCCATTGGAATATTTTTATAATAGGGGCAAACTGGAAGCAAAGGTAATAGTCCCTATGTGGAAATTATTAATTTATTATGGATTGATCAAATAACCTAATGTAATATTTCCATTAAAACATATTCATTGGTACATGTTTAAAATATATTGTAAAGGCTATAAAGGTGTAAGATTATATATTCAGTGTGATTCAAGTATGTAAAATATAATGTATATGAGAGACTAGATGGAAATAAAAAATGCTAAATACCATCAGAGAGTGACAATACAGATAATTTTACATACTTTCTTATTTATATTTTCCCCTATAGTCTCAATTTCTACAATAAATGTGTGAGAGTTTAAAACAGGACAATTATCATTAGTTAAAATGCAAAACGTAGTAGGATTGCTGTTTTCTTCCCTTGTATGTTATGATACTTTTTTCAAAGACAAAAATTCCTACAAAAATACAAGAATAATTTTTCTCTTGTATGTTCTGATAATTTTTTTCAAAGACAAAAATTATAATTAAGTTAGGTGCTATTAACATGAATTTGTATACTCCTTATTATCTCATAAACATATATCGCAGAGAAGCAGTTTGTACTAAAACCAAAAGACTAGGCAATTTGAGGCTATACCTGGTAGTATAGATCATTAAGGAAATCATAATGATATTCAGTGTAGAGTTCCACATTGCTATCCAAAGAGGTTGAGGTTTCTCATGCCATATAACCAGTGAGTAGTAAAGCCTCTAAATATTCAAATAGAAGTGGTTTTGCATGACCTTCCAAATGCAGTTGCGTATATAATGCATCAATTGTACTTTAGTCATATTAGACAAAATGTACACTTGGAAATGCTACAGTAGCAGTAAGAGGCATTGGAGGTATGGGAAGCTGTGTATTTGTTCACTTAACCTTGCACTTTTCTAAGAAACATATTCATAATCCTCTGCTCCAGCTACTGTGTTGTTGATTGGAACTGGAGTCCCTATTTATTTTGTTGTTATTGTTGTTGTTAATCCTCACTCGAGGATACTTTTTCATTATTATAATTTTTTTTAGAGAGAGAGTGGAAGAGAAGGGGAGAGACAGAGATAGAATCATTGATGTGAGATAAACACATCAATTGCTTGCCTCTCACACACGCCCTGACTGGGGCCAGGTATTGATCCTGCAACCCAGTAGTACGCCCTTGACTGGAATTGAACTAGGACCCTTCAGTCTGTGTGCTTACACTCTATCCACTGAGCCAAACCAGCTAGGGCTAGAGTCCTTATTTCTTATGACTACCCTTATCTATAATCATAAAAGCATAATATGCTAATTAGACTGGGCATCCTTCCAGACCTCCTTCCATTCTTCCGGATGAGGCTGCAAGGGAAACCCAGGTCCCAGGTGCCTGCCAGCAGTCAGAGGGAAGCCTGGGTCCCAGCAGCTGGGGTAAGGAGGCCTATTCTTGCACAAATTTTGTGCATCGGGCCTCTAGTTTTACTAATATATCAAAATATTACTTAGTGGTTTTATTTTTCTCATATCCATGTGAAACTTATTTAATATAAATGTTATTGTCATAGTTACATTTTTAAAGCAAGTGAGTTAAAACATGTAACCACATTTATTTAATTTGAATTTTTATTGTTAATTTTTTTGTTAGAGATATTCTAAACAGTTGTGCCATCTGATCTTGAAAAAAATGATATCATAGATAGTCACCTACATTACTGCATTTTTATTTTTTCATTTTATTTATTGAGAACCTATTATGTGTCTGGCACTATCATAGATGCTGAACGTATGGAAAATAAAAGTTATTTCTCTGCTCAAGGGTCTTCATAATGGAGATAAATCTGTTAATGAAATATATAGTGCCATGTTCATTTCCCTTTGGATAATTACATTTAAAGAGATTTTATATTCATTTTAGATCAATACTGTTACCATTTTCTGGGCCAAAAGGAAAAAAAATAGGGTGATTCTACATGTCTAGAAAGGAATTCTTATGGCCTCATTTGTCTTTTTGTATGACCACTATATTTCAAGACAGTATATGGTAAATGAAATATGAAAGTTCTTTATGTGGGTCCTAAGTAAGTAGACACATGAAATTTATCATTTCAAACACATGAGAAAACACCATAAAGAAGCCATAATTCCACTCTTTTCCCACTATTGTGAATATGCTGAGTCCAAGGTAGCATGTATGTGATATTTGAAGATGCTGAGAGATATACCATTGAACGCCTGATAAAAATTATTTATATTTGGTGGGCAAAGGGCATATCCAGTTAGCATCTTACCAGAGAGGCTGACTAATATTTGATAGCTACTCTGAGAGAACCAAGTGATTTGAATGACTTTAGAAGAGTAAAACTAACTTCATTTCTCCACTTTTTAGTCCTATATAACTAATTGAGGGATTAATTAATTATATATCATATTGCAATACAGCTGGGGAAATGAGAGATTAATAAAGCCTCTCAAAATATATCTTTTTTGAAAAAAAATCAAAACACCTACAAAACTCGTTTGTTTGCTTATTTATTTATTTATTATTTTAGTCCTCACCTAAGGATGTGTTTTTATTGGTTTTAGAGGAGAGGGTAAAAGAGGGAGAGAGGAAAACATTGTTGTGAAAAAGAAACGTCGATTAGTTGCCTCCTGCACTCACCCTGACCAGGAATCAAATATCATCCACAACCCGTTGGTACATGGGACAATGCTTCAACCAACTGAGCCACACCAGCCAGGGCTCCATTTATTGCATATGTATACATAGATTCTCTATATTTAGTCCAAGTTCAGCAAAAATGTATACCCATGCCAAGTTTGGCAAAGAATCCAATATTGTGAGTTTCAGAAATAATAAATAAGCAAACATGCATATTTCCTTATTTGTGGCTTCTCTTTTAAGAGCTCCAAGTCTCTGATTTGATTAAGAAATAGGAATATAAGATATATTGACAATGTAAGAATGTCCCACAATTTTTTTGCGGTACTGAAGAAAAACTTTATTTGTTCCATAAACAAACAATAATTTCCAGTATTATGCAAGAAAATCTTGTTTCGGCCATTTTTTTCTTTCTATACAATAAAAATAAAATGGAACATTAATAAGATTTTTACAAATATGTTGTTTATTTTAATGAAGCTGGTACAGACAATGTCCATTTAAAACCCACATCCCAGGCCAAAAAGTACAAATAAAATAAAAAAGAGCAGTGTTCTGTTGCACACACTTCTGCATGAATAACTTTATTAACTGATAATGAAAATTAAAACTTTTCTGGGATCTTCTGACAAGATTTTTCTTTACTCTTAAAATGCTTTCTCTTCAGTGAAGCCATCTTTGGTGTTAGTCTTTACTCTCACCTCATCTGTCATCTTGGCTCCAACCTGATATTCCTCTTCTTTTGGTCCAGACCTTCAGATTTTAAAAGTAGCTTCAAGCCCTAACCGGTTTGGCTCAGTGGATAGAGCGTCGGCCTGAGGACTGAAGGGTCCCAGGTTCAATTCTGGTCAAGGGCATGTACCTTGGTTGCGGGCACATCCCCAGTAGGTGTGCAGGAGGCAGCTGATCGATGTTTCTCTCTCATAGATGTTTCTAACTCTCTATCCCTCTCCTTTCCTCTCTGTAAAAAATCAATAAAATGTATTTTTTTAAAAAAAGTAGCTTCAAGCTGAGGAAAGGTCATTTTCCCACAGTTCAGTTCTCTGAAAAACTTCCACCTCCCACTGAAAATCATAGTCCAGGAGTGAAGCAATCAGATGCTAGAACTTCAGGGCCAATTACAAGTCATTATGAACACTTGCATTGGTCGACCGTATTTATCACAAGCCTGAAAATGCAGTCCTGAAAAAGGTGGCCTCCCTGTGCACACACGTCATATTTCGAAAGGAGAGGGCAATATGAAGGAGGCTGACATTTGATCACCAAAAACCAGCACAGTGAAAACAGACAATAATGAATAATGGGCACTAGAATTCAAATTACCAGATGTTTTAAAGAGATGGGGGGCGTCAGTTTTCAATTCCATTTTAACACCGCATTACAAAAGAACTATTTTTAAAAATAAAAAAGGATTGAGGGAAAAGAAAATAAAATAAAAAGAATATCTAAACCGTTAAATGACCCCCTGTTTGTTCCTGATAAACTTCAACCACATCTTCTTCCTCCATTCCCAGTTCTTTTGGAGTGTGATTATCAGCAATTCTCTGACCTTCAAAGAGAAACCTGAGTGAATTCATTGGAACTCCCTGTCTTTGACAGTATGATTCTTTGAGTTTCTTGAGATGTGTTGTCATTTTCACTTTGAAGTGAATCTCACTGCTATCCTGTCCAATGACTTTGAGTTTAATGTATTCTCCTTCCTTCTTATCCCCCACGTCCTCAGTTGAAGGTTTTGCCTCCTGGTCAGACATGGTGACGGCACTTCACCGGGTCTCTTCAGCGCAGCGGTCTCAGATAGGCAGGACCTCGCTCCGGGGTTTACAATTACGTCCCTCTTCCCCACAGCACAACCCACAATTTGTTGATGAAAGAAAGAAAAAAAAAAAATATATATATATATGTAATGTTTTGTCATTTGGACCACTAACTTTACTATTCAAATAGTAAGTTTAGTCCAGATCCAATAACTGTTTTGATGATCGAATTATCTTTACAGACAGTGATCCTAAAATATTAGTTTCAGATAGAGCAAAATGTACATACAACTTTGTTAAGTAATCATTTTGTTAACCCTCAGTCATTCTCCAAGTGATAACACTATAGTTCTTCAATGCATAATGTCATATATCAGTGTTCAAAAACAGTGTAAATTTTTGAATTTAATAATATAATAATTACACACTTTTATCATTCCTCAGTATTTTGTAAAGAACTATCAAAGTTTGAGAAATTGAAAAGTCCTAACCCTTCAAAAGCATTCAACCTTTCAGTAGAAATAAGAAAAACATACATGAATAAGACTCAAAGTATCCTATGACTTATAAATATGATAACATAGCAATTGGAATTGTCTGTAGGAAATGAAAAATTCAGAAGAGTAAAGAATTTAGTTGAAGGACTAAGGCAATGAGTTTTAACTGACATTGAGGACATGGATGTTTGGAAAGGAGGCAGGAAACCATTTTCTGAATTTTCAAGGACTTGGTACCAATTGTTTTTACTTAGGAACCTTGTTGCTCTAGATTAAGATTTATTTTTTGATGTTGTTTGTGGTGCTAATTAGAAAATTTCAAGCAAAGGAGCCAAAATTGCTTTTAAGTCCTCTACTATTTTTTCATTCCTTTGTCAAATATAGCCATTCCACACTGGCATCCTTTAATAATATTTCAATAATATATTTTAGTAGTTTGAGAAAAAAATCAGAGTGATTTTATTTCTGTCTTAAACTTTATTTACTCACCATATTATGTTTGGTACACATGTTTTTAACTTTCTGGGCCATTTACTTATCTATATTATATATTAGCCAAAAAAAAAAAAAGGCGACACAGGTAACACAGCTTCATTTTTATGTTCTCTAGTGTTCTGTTTAGCTTTCTTCTTCTTCAGTGCATTCAGGCCTCCTAGGTGCAAACACACTGATCAATGAAAGTTGTATCCATCTTTCTGTTTTCTCAGCAGACTATGTTGTGTATAGTTGTATGTGGTATATGGTATCAGCAAATGTGTTGAATTGTACAACTGTAACTATAGTCTATGGATTTTTTAAAGTTTGATTTTGACCCATGAAAGAATAATTTTCAATACATTAATAACAGACTTGTCAAATATATTATATTTTAAAAATGATTCCTCATTTCATTTATTTATTTTTACCTCTAAACCTCCAGTTGCATGTAGTTATGATTTCCTAAAAGAAATTATTAAATCATTGTTCTTAGTCATCTTAAAACACAATTTAGAACATAAATTTTAGATTTGTAATTTGCAATAATATAGCTCTCATCCCACATACATATTTTACATTTTAAAGTACCATAAAATGTGGGCACATTAAAATGCACTAATTTATTTTGTGCTTCAAATGATTGACAAATCCACATAACAAATATTTTAAAAATATTTCTTATAAGTTAACCAGTGTTTTATAGGCCTCTGCTTCATTCAACAAGTACATGTACTCACTACCATATATATTGCCATCTAAATAACTTTACATACCACATTTGTTGTTTCAAACATTTTTAGCCATTGCATGTTAGCATATCTTAATGGATGACAGTTAAGTTTTTGCAGCATTTTCATCTTATTTCAAAATAAATATTTATGCTATTATTTGAATATCTAATTGCATTTTTACATTGTCCTCAGTATATTACATTAGAACATGAAAACTGAAAATTTATATTGTGACAAAAGTAATAAGCAATTTTCTTGTACTTACTAAAATAGAACAATGGTGAAAATAAACATCCCAAGGATGATATATTTTTTAGGCTCAATTGGATAGTTATTAAACTTATACAAATGACAGGAATTTTTAACTATGAAAAAAAATTAAAGATCATTCATAAAAATCTGGTAATCTATAATAACTAGAGGCCCAGTGCACAAAAGTTTGTGCACTCAGCGGGGTTGCTCAGCCCGGCCTATGCCCTCTTGCAGTCTGGGACCCCTCGGAGGATATCCACCTGCTGGCTTAGGCTCGCTCCCTGGGGGATTGGGCCCAAGCTGGCAGTCAGACATCCCTCTGGCAGCCTGGCAGCCCTCGGGGGATGTCCATTTAGCAGCGGGGAGCAGGCTTAAGTTGCAGTTGGACATCCTTAGCGCTGCTGAGGAGGCGGAAGAGGCTCCCACCACCACCGCTGTACTGGCAGCCGTCAGCCTGGCTTGTGGCTGAGCAGAGCTCCCCCTGTGGGAGTGCACTGACCACCAGGGGACAGCTCCTGCATTGAGTGTCTGGCCCCTGGTGGTCAGTGTGTATCATAGTGACCAGTCATTCCCAGTCATTCTGCTGTTAGGGTCAGTTTGCATATTACCCTTTTATTATATAGGATAGAGGCCTGGTGCATGGTGGGAGGCAGCTGGTTTGCCCTGAAGGGTGTCCCAGATCAGGGTAGGGGTTTCGCTGGGGTGCATGGCCAGCCTGGGTGAGGGGCTGATGGCTGTTTTCAGGCTGGTCACACCCCCTTCAGGGTGGGGGGTCCCCACTGGGGTGCCTGGCCAGCCTGACTGAGGGGCTATGGCTGTTTGCAGCTGGTCACACCCCCTTCAAGGTGGGGGTCCCCACTGGGGTGCCTGGCCATCCTGGGTGAGGGGCTGAGGGCTGTTTTCAGGCTGGCCAAGCCCCCTGGCGACGAATGCTACCAGCCTCTCCTTTTTTTCTTTTTTTCTTTTTATTCTAGGATTTATTTACCTTCTATAATTGAAGCTTTGTTGCTTTGAGTGGAGCTCAGAGCCGGCCGTGGGAAGCTTGGTTTCCTCCATCATTGGGGCAACTAAGCCTCCTGCTTGCTCCAGCTCCATGGCTGCAGGCTGCCATCTTGGTTGGGTTAATTTGCATATAGTCGCTCTGATTGGCTGGTGGGCATGGCTTAAGCCGTAGAGAAGGTATGGTCAATTTGCATGTTTTTCTTTTATTAGTGTAGATAAAAGCATAATATGCTAATTAGACTGGACAGCCGAATGACCTTCTGGACAACCTTCCGGACAAAACCAGGGCTTGCACGAATTTCATGCATTGGGCCTGTAGTATATTTTTAGAGGTTATATTTAAAAATTGAAATATAACCTGGGAGTTTACATATACAATTATATATATATATATATATATATATATATATATATATATGGCTTTGGAAATAGAATACCAAATAGAGTTCTAAATCTCCTGTTCAAATTTTGCCCACTTGCTTTTTTGTACAATATTAGGAAGATACTGTGGCATTAAGCAACTGAAAATTAATGAAGGTAATTTTAAAGCAGGGCTGAATTCTATTTTTTAAATGTATATATTTTCTTACTAACCTGTTTTTTATTGTTTTAGTGCAAATTTTATGACCCAACATTATAGAAATTAGTTTTATGAAATTTATAAAAAGTCCAAGAAAGTTCCTGGCTTTTGACTAGGTGGTAAATAGGATACAGTGCCATGTAAATGTGCAGAGCTAAAATAATGACCTTTTCTGCAAGAAATGAGCATGCGTAATTAGCACTTTGATAGGATACAGTGTCTTGCAGAGAAAACCCGTCCACGTCATTTTGCCTTTCATTTTGAGCCATGTTTTCCAAACAGCAGTGTTTTGTTTTTTAGTTCTCCGGATTAAACTCCAGGTCATTGACAATTTAATACATATTTTTATTATTTAATCAGCTTTATCCCTGTCCCATGCAGCCTAGTCAATGATTACGTTCTGTTTCAACTTTTGAAGATAGCTTTTTTATTCTTAATGACTTCATTCTTTGTATTTGCTTGTATTTCTTAACACTGCCCATTAATACCTGACAATTTAACTGCTTTGTTTTTTAGTTTCAAATACCTTAAACATCAAATTTTTTAATTTTCTGCTTTCTTTGTTAATGTCATGTAATTTTTTTGTTCTTCACACCACACCATATTGTGCTACATGCATGTAAGTTTTTAAAATTTGTTTAGTTTTCACCCAAAGTACTTACTACCCTCCTTACTTGTTGTTTCAACAGTTAATCAAGTGATATATAACAATTGAGTTGTCCTTTGTATTTCTACTTTAGTTTCAATAGTTTAATTATCTTTTCTAATTTTTAGCCAATGATATAAGTTGTTTATATGCTCACTCAATCTGTACTAGTGATCTAATATCAGGTCCCAAATATCAGTATATAGGAATTACCATTTTAATATTCAGATGTTGTATTGTGTATATATATACACAAAATTAGATGTAGCAGTGAATCATAAAATATCTGCTTTGTTTGTATCACATATCTTCAAATTTTGTCTATGCATGCCATCTTTTTGTATTCAGGCAGTTATTTATGTGCTAGCAAATATACATTATGATATGCTATTCATCTGGAAACTGTTTTGAAAAGACAACATTCTGTTTTGATGTTATAAAAGACAATTTTTATAAAGCCTGTTTTCATCAAGAACTGGCTTATTTGAATATGTGCATTTCATACTAATGATTTTTATGTCTGCATGTTTAAAATAATTGTAAATATATTTCTCTGTGTCCATAGAGCTGTAACTCTTTCTGCCCTGCTGCCTTGGAAAATACCTTTAAAAAAACAACCCCCCCATTAAACACTTAGATTTCTTTTCATTTTAATAAATAATTTATCAGACATAGTAATCAGTTATTATGTTATAAGAGCAACATGCGGGTTTAGTAAATAAAAGAGAAATATTTTGCATAAGCTTGACTAATAATTCCTAAACCATGGTGCAATATTACAAAATGACATATTTTAAGCCTTACCCCTCTGGTAGTTTTGTGCTTAAATCAGGAATTATTTGAGAAGCTATGATTCTAGTAAAGGAATATACTGCCTCCCCAAATCCCTGTACTCTTTAAATATGT